TAGACAACAGCAAAGTAAATCCAGCTTATTGTAAATGGAAATTGAGATTGAATCAAATATATTGTTCGCTTGGAAACGGACAAGTCGAGTACAAGGAAAATGACTTTGCCATACGTTGAATCTATTCATGAATCATAATAAACTCCCATGAGAAGAATACATGTGAGAATTGAATTCAAAGCGTATAGGCCATACATTGATATATATAATTGATCTCAATAGCAATTTCTAAGTTTCAATCGGAAAAAATAACACAATGGTTGCTTAAAGTAAGACTACCGCAGTCAGGCTCCCTCTGGGCAAAGCAATGAGAGACAAACTCAAGTTGAGAGAGAAACATCAATTGTACTTGTAGCGCGGGAAAATGTCAACACCGGGTTTCAAACACTTTAAATATACTTAAACCTTGAACAAGGGGTATACAGTTAAGATATTAAACTGTCGAAGACCACAACACTACAAGGTGACACCACAAATATACAAAAGATGTTTACATAGTTCTACAAAGCATTGTAAACCGCAGAGGTCACAGCACAATAACAGTGAGTCGTCTCAAACTCAGATAAAACCAGAAAAATTTATGAAAGAACACGCGGAACAGAATGAAGTAATAAAATAGATTCTCAGGATGACACAAAAATTTTAGATATTTCACAAAAGGTTACGATGAGCGAGGGTAGAAGTCACACTCGCTTATAGAACAAAACTCAGAACTGATCAGGATTAGAACAAACTTCGAAGAACACATCAGAGAGCACGTGGTAGAACGAACGTTTTAATAAAAAGGTTATATAGTTGCTTTCAGAAGCAGAACAAATCATAAGTATTTACTACACAGAACTTGACTAAGATGAACTAAAACTTGTTTGAAAAAATAATAGGTAGAACAAAATCGATTAAAAATGCATGGAGTGCCGGAACATATTCCGTCCGGTCACTACCGCTGCCAAGTTAGCTCCAAAACTCACACAAATATGTCACATTTCGAATGTTCTCCAATGAAAAAAAATCCAAACAGACGACACAATGTATTCTTATGGGCACGAAGTAGTATAAGGAGACCCCACTGTCCGGGAAAGCTGAAGCCGTTTTCCCCGTTTCTCTTACAATTAACGGAGGTGTCGAACCCTAACGGGAAAATTTGATACCTCCGAAATTTCGTCTGCTAAAAGTGACATGAGCGATGTAAACATGGAGACTCTCCATGGATATAAACATGATATAATTATTTATATTGTGTAAAAACACAGTAACGAAGTAAAATTAGTAACTGCAAGTGAATATAAATTATTAAACTGTTTATATTTTATTTTAATTATGGTTGTGATAAAAATATACTTCAATAAGATTTATATTTAAAATGAAACTCATCATTATTATTTGGATTTCATTGAACCCTGCTAAAAATAAAATCAGAAATCAGTCTCAAAACGTCAGAAATCCTGACGTTTTGAGACTATTTTGATGTTCTGTGATGCTGCTGACTAATTCTGACTTAAATAGTTTTTATGGGCCTGACGTTTTCTAAAAAGTGACGATTTCTCACTACGTTTTATTTTTTTTATAAAAAGGGTTCCAAGAGAGGTACCAAGGCCACTCAAACCCACCATATAACTCTATTATATTATATGTATATTCCCTTTTTCCAACAGAAGGGTCCTTTCGAGGGTCCATCAGGTTTTATGACATTTTAATGCAAAATAAAAAATTATTTAAATTTAAATAAATATTTTTTTAAATGTTATATTTGTAATTTATAGATTTTAACGATTCCAATGATATAAAACATTATGTAAAAACTCTAAAATTACATAATGATTATACAATAAATACTCCATTAATTAAAATTAATTCTCAATAATTTAAAAATATTTGCAAAAAATTTTATATCGTTGTAATTGTATTAACATGTACATTACGAATATAATATTTAAAAATCATTTTTTTCAAATGCAACAATTTTTAATTTTGCAATGAAAAGCCATAAAACCATAAAAGATCCTTCTGGCCTATACTTTTCTTTTTGTCCTTTTCTAACGTACATATAATATATATGGAATCAAGTTTGTAAGACAAGGACAGAAAAGGGAAGGCGTCAATGACTACGACTATACTTTTAAAGTCCCTACTTCAAATTTGTATTTATTATTTTACAGTAAGCTAGTTTCCTTACATTTAGTTATAAGAAAGCAACATATGTTGAAAACCTATTCTTACCATTGTGTTAACTCTATATATATATATATTTGAAAAAAATTAGAAATCGCTGGCTATTTCACATAAAAGTTTATTTTTTTACAACTATAGATGAGCAAAAACATTCTGGTCTCTTGTAAAATAGAATATATGAATTGATCGCTCAATCAATCTCTGAGCGAATTTGATCCAGTTTCCACTAAATATAAATTTCATTTGAACCAAATATTACATCTAATTATAGTGCAGTATGCTAAAAAGAGAAATTAAAATTAGTAATTATTTAGTTGATTTGTGGAAGAATTATGTTAAATTGAATTTTAATAATATAGTAATTAATATATGCATATTAATTAATTCTTATCATTATAATTAATTATAATAGTGATGAATGTGCTAAAACGTGAGCGAAAAACCTGATAAAATTCGCTCAGAGTTTACTTGAGACAATCCGGCAGTATCTTATTATTCTAGACTATTTTATTTGTATATTACACATATTCTTTTAAGTTCGAATTCAAATAATATTTACATACGAATTTTTTGTTTAATTAAATATTTGCTGAAGCAAATTTTATTAATTGAATACATTAATATATGATAATTGGACTACAAATGTTTTTTGATCAATATAACAATATACCTATTACTATTTTAACTTTACTTGTTAATTTTTAAAAATTATAAAATTTTTTAAAAATAATAATAATAATTATCAACAAAATATGTTGATAAAATTGAAAAAAAGTAATAAGATCTTCTATTTTCATAAAACCGTATTCTATTTTTAAGATCTCAGTTAGGTTAGTTTAGCTCAGGGGTTAGGTATTCGGTTTGCGTTCGTTAGGTTGTGAGTTCGATTCCCTGCGTTTGCGAGATTTTCTTCGATAGGAGTAAATAAATATAATAAATTGTAAAAATAATAATTAAGAATGTGTAACGTAAAGATAAAAAAATGTTGTACGATAATTTATTTTTTTAATGATAAAATATTGATTTTTTTTAATTTTTAAATATTTGTAGTCAGAATTCATGAGAAGTAAGTCAGGAATCTTCAAAACTATTTTATAGAAAGAAATGTCATTTAACATCACAAATAGTCACAGGGTTTAATGATTTATGGTATGGCAAAAAAAAGGGTCTCCGACCCTCATAAAAAATCTGACTACTATTGACGATTCTTTGACTAAACCTCACTTATTGTGGTGTTCTGTGACTGCAATCGTAACAAAAACAGTCTCAAAACGTCAGAGATCCTGACTAATTTTTTGACGTTTTGTGATTTTATTTTTAGCAGGGAAAATAGTTTTGTAAATAGATTTATATTTTGTATTGCCTTTAGCACAATTTGTTTTGCAAACTTTTATTGAACCACTAATCATATTTCCTTACACGGAGAGAAATCTGGTGCGATTTACGCATGAGCATGTCCTTAGGAATATAGTAACAGACGCTTTCAAGCAAAAATCCTAAGTGAGCGAGGTATTATTGTATGAGTCTCACCTGATATTCAGATGGAATCTTATGGTTTTTGCTTGGAAGTGTCCATGCTATATTCCTATGGACTTGCTCATGCGCAAATCGCAGCAGATTTCTCTCCGTGTACTTTTCTTTAAATTATTTACAAAAACCAGAAGAAACAAACCGATATAAAAGCAGTTTATGCAGGTTACGTCACGGCATCCATTTTGCGAAAGTTCTATGTGTTAGTAACTGTATGTACACATTTTGTGTCAGTGTGGGTAACTAGTTCCCAACTTTTCCGATAGGTTCGACACCTCCGTTAATTGTAACTATTGTAAGAGAAACGGGGAAATCAGCTTCAACTTTTTGTGGGCTTAATATAGCAGTGGGGTCTCCTTATTGGGATCTGAAATACTGCGATACGCCATCTGGTGAGAGCCTTGTTGTGGTGGCCATGTTTTCATTCCGTGTTTCTCTAACATATACAAAAGAAAGAGATAAAAAACCAAGATGGTTGTCACAAGAAGGCTCAGGGGTGGGTCAGTTTCGCGTGATTTCTGATCCCAATACTACTTCGTGCTTATGGGGAAGAACATTTGTTTCCACTTTCATCAATTTTATTAACATTTTAAACATGGAAAACGCTTGTTGACATATAATAAAATTAAAATGTGTGTTGATAATTAATTTTGATATATATTTGATTCAATTGCATTGATAGATTCTCTCAATTCGTGATAAAATATAAATATTGAGGTTAGAAAAGTTTGTTTACTAATAACATTTTACATTTTAACAACATTATTAAACAATATCCAGTATGCATGTTATTAAAAAAGATATAAAATATATATGGGAATTACCGCAGCAGTAAAATATTTCAAGTTAGTAAACAAACACCCCTAACCTCAAAATTTATATTTTATCACGAATTGAGAGAATCTATCAATGCAATTGAATCAAATATATAACAAAATTAATTATCAACACACATTTTAATTTTATTATATGTCAACAAGCGTTTTCCATGTTTAAAATATGAATATAACTGATGAAAGTGGAAACAAATTTTCTTCCCCATAAGAATACATTGTGTCGTCTGATTGTTGTGCCTCCAGGCCTCTGACGTCACATCTAGAATCGACTCTGACGTCACAAGTGAAAGAGCCTAATAACGTATAAGAGTGAGAGAAATAAGAACATGTTTTATTTCTCTCACTCTTATACGTTATATTACATGATAGACAGGTAGCCTCGCTATCTACCGAGGTGTGACCGTACCCTTATACGTTACCATGACGACCCTACTAATAGCAGAGCTGTGGCCGCTCCCTTACATCCACGCGAAACTATTTTGCGTTTACCTTTATGTCATAAACAAGAGCACGTTTTAACCTAAAAGAAAACAAATTAGCCGGCGATAATTTGTGATTGCGGTTAGTTTAAGATTTTACAATGACAAACTCCACAGAAATATTTAATTTGATCAATGGATCTAGTAAGGAGTACAATACATTAGAAAATTTGATTTTGTTAGAGACATCAGAGGTATTCATTTTTACATTTTACATTTTACATTGTTTCTCATTTTGTTTATTTTATTTTTTTATTATTTCTTTTCTATTCACTACTTACTATTTTTATGTCGTTTTTTGTCTATTATAAGTACTTTAAATTAATTTTTAACCTACTCGAGGCAGATGATAATTTGTCACGAGTCCGTTGATACTAAAAACTCTTTTCTCCAAAATATGTTTTTCCGTTGTAGGGCAGTATTGTGCTTTTAACCCGAGTTTTATGGCTTAAAACAATGATTTGAACAACTCAAATTTAAAAACTATATATTTGATACCTCCCGTTCATAAAATGCTAACATAAATGTTGTAAAATTATTCTAATTTTAAAAATAAGTGCAATATAAAGTTAACGAAAAAAAATTATGCAAGATAGTTCTTTTTCAATATTCAGTGCCAGACAATTCTAATTGTTTGCATGCAATATAATTTTATACAAAATTAAGAATTATAATAATTATAATTATATTAGAAATAAGTTTATTATATTATAAAACAATATAAGTTTAATTGAATAATAGATCGACTAATTATTTAAAAATGCATTTTAAATATATTAGGTCTGCCGTGTTTTCTAAAAACTTAGGTAACTGCAAAAAAATCGAAAAATGAGTTTTTTATATCGTTGGAATCGTGGAAAAAAGATACACCTGTTAATGCAAATTATTTTTAAAAATTGTTAATATTATTAATAATAATTTTTGCATAAATAATTGAAAATACCGGTAACTGCAAAAATTGATGAGTGATAATTTGAGAAACTTAGGTAACTGCTATAAAAACTTGGGTGTCTTTGGGTGTTGTGACGTATTTTGTAGGTAGTGATTTGAAGAACTTAGGTAACTGCACCAGTGCCTAAGTTTCTCAAAACACGGACCTCATTTTTCGAGCCCTCGTCGCATGGAAAACTTAGGTAACTACAGAGTGCTATCAGAGCACTGCAGTTACCTAAGTTTTCTATGCGACGAGGCCTCGAAAAAGGAGGTCCGTGTTTTGAAGGACCAAGTAACTGCAAAATCTTATACATTTCTTTAAAATTACAATGTTTTTTGTGCAATTAATAATTTGTAATGACAATAAATAATGAAATAAAAAACTCCAATACTATATATATATATATATATATATATAATTATACCTAAATAATAATTTATCAATTATTGAAAAATTAAGTATTAATTTTAATAAATAACATAAAAGCATTAATAAATTAAGAAAATGAAGTTCAGTAATATGTTTATTTCATGATTAATATATAATTAATTTAGTTCAATTATTTAAAAAATTAAAATCGTTTTTAATTATTTAAATAAACGTTAATAAAGCAGCGAACTACATTACCTACAATAATTTGACTTTAATATTGTAAAATTAAAATAAATTCAATCATTTAGTTTAATATTTGTAAAAACCAATAATTATAATGATAACTTTCTCATCTTATTAAATAATTACACTTTATTATTTATTATTTATTTTTATATTATTTTTTTTTATTTTATTTAATATAATTATTTAATATATTTTTACTATTTTTTAATTTTTTTTATGTATTTTATTTTATTTTATATTATTATTTAATATATTCTGAGTTAATACAATATTTGACTCTAATATTGTATAATTAAAATAAATTTAACCATAAAATTAAATATTTGTAAAAAACAATAATTATAGTGACAACTTTCGCAGCTTATTACTACATTTTACTACATTTTTAATAATTTATTGAATGTTTAAACAAATACAACATTTATTTTTACATAATTAAAAAGAATAAATTTAGACGAATCGAAGGAACAAAACGGCATTTAAAAATTTTAATTAGGCTTTGCGGTACATATCAATGAAGTTTAAACAGTTTTTCGCGTTTTTCTCGAAATCTTTCATTCTGCAGTTACCTAAGTTTTTAGAAAACACGGCAGAGGTATTCTATTTTCAAATGTATGAAATAAAAGAACCTCGCACCGCATACATGGAAAATTGGGGTCCGGTGAAATTTCGTAATTTCGTACCTTTTGACCTCTTAAACAGAAAATTTTAACGTCAAAATTTAAAAAAAATGAACCGATTTTTTGGTAATATTTAAGTTTAGAAAAATAGTTTCTTCGCTTTTAACACTGTTTTCTTAAACTTAAAACCTAATTGAGCTGCCGGATCAAAGAAAAGCACATACCTAATGTAATTCAAATGGGTTATGTGCCCTTATTTGATCCGGAAGTTCAATTAACAAAAAATCTGTCAATTTTTTTTAATTTTGTCATTAACATTTTTTGGTCAAAAGGTATAAAATTACAAAGTTTTAAGAAATTTCACCGAACTCCAATTTCCCATGGTTGCGGTGCGGGGTTATTTTTGAAAATAGAATAAAAAACCACTGCCAAGTTGAAGTATGAGTTTTTTGATTCACTTCACGAACAGTTTGCTTCCTTATGGAGATTTTTTGTGATCAATTTATAGTGACTTATTTAGTATTATAATAATATTTGAGAAAAGGTGTTAAGTTGTTGCTCGGCAATTGCAAAAATACATTTTTAACATCAATAACATCGTAATATTTTATAACAAAAGATTCAATACTAAGCCAATAAATTTATTCTTAAATATTTTCTACGTTGGTTATGATAACTTTAAAGTTGCATAAAGTTTTTTAAACAAATAATGCAAAGAAATTAGGTTTTTCAAAATTTTTCTGTTTTAAAAGGTCAATAACTTTGGACAGAATAACAGTAGAATGTTCGCTAAAAGTTCAAAAGATGCGCCTTGAGAACTTTACAAAATTAAATTTATTAATTAAAGAAAAGAAATATATATACAGCACGGACGTATCTTACGTACGGCAGAGTAGGTGTGAATGGGGACAAGAGGTCTTTGAGGCTTAATTTACAGTTTTAAAATTAAGTTCGACGTCAAGATTATAACTTAGTATTCTGAGTATTGCCAAGCTTTTATCTTGAAAATTGTCAGCAAGATAAAAAAAGTTATCGCTAAATGCATAAAAACTTGAAAATCAAAGTCAAACTGTTTCAGTATTTTGTCTCGCATTTGAGAGAAAACAGACTTAAAAATCATACAAAATTTTTTTCTTATTCCTTATGAAAATACAATACAATACATTTTTAAAAATATAGGGTAAGTCCGGGGCAGTTGGCCATGCGGGAGAGATAGCCAATTCAAATATTTTATAGAATTTGCTGCTAGGTATCGCTTATTAAATATTAGTTTGCTTTGTTTTGTGGCAAAACACAATTAAAAGAAAAAACTTCACGAAAAATATTGAAAAAGTATGTAAAAATCTGATTTGTTATTTTGACTAGTTCGGAAAAAAAGTGATGAGTTTACATTTCTCACTGGTGTTATGTTATTTTATAGAATAATTTTGAATTTCATGTTTTTCTGTAAAGTACATGAGCCAAGCTTTGTCATAACTTTATATTTATTCAAAAAATTTATTTATTTATTTAAATTTTAGTTGTGTCAATTTGTCTCCTGACATTAGGAGAGATGGCCATGTTTTTTCGAGGTGAGATGGCCATACTGTTTAAGTTATTGGCACCCTTGAGATTAATGTGTTCGCTAAAAAAACATTAATTCTGTGACAAATTACATTTTTTATGACATACATTACAACAAGACACTCCAAAAAAGATTTTCAAATTTAAATATGATCAAATAAAATAATCCCTATTGTGTAATTAAATCTTAAAAACATTTATAAACAAACATAACACAGGTCTACAAAGTAAGACTTTTTTATATATAGCGGAGTGGTTTCCAATGTATTTTTGTGTGCTGAACCCGATTCCGGGTTCCAAAATTGCGTATCACATCAGGATTTTGAATAAAGTGGAGGTAAAGTCTCCAAAAACAGTGCTTTTGAGGGTTTTCATTATTTTTTTATCCTTAACCAGACGTGCTAGACACTTCTATATATGCTTAAATTGAAGCATACATCGTACACTTTAAGACTCATTTACGCAGGATTAAAAAAAGATTTAAAATTTTGAAAAAAATGTGGGTAAAAACCCAAAAAATCTTTTTAGGTGACTTGAACCTATTTTTTTTTTTAAATTTCAAATTTTTTTTCCTTGCGCATATGAGTCTTAAAGTGTAAGATATAAGCTTTAATTTAAACCTATTTAGAAGTCTCTTATTACGTCAGGTTAAGGAGAAAAAAAATACTGAAAACCCTCAAAAACACGGGTTTTGGAGTCTTTACCCCCACTTTACTCAAAATCCTGACGTGATACGCAATTTTGTAACCCGGGATAGTTTTCAAGACACAAAAATAAATTGGAAACCACTCTGATATCTCAAAAAAATACCTTGTAGACTTGTTGTGGTGAGACAGACAAACAGAGAGCGCTTATAGAAGACTGGATTCAGTGAATTGATTGTCACCTTTGGCTTCATGAAAATTGCACTGAATTTAATGATAAATGTTCGAAATGTGGTCAGAAGAAGAAAAGAAGACATTAATCACTTTAAATTAAGAATTCTGATAAAGCGAAAAGCCAAAGAATGATTTTAAAGTTTTGGCCATTTCTCCCGTACGCCTATGGCCATTTCCCCGTACATTCCGGGAGAGATGGCCAAACGTGTTTTTTAAAAAATATTAATTTTAAGATTGTTTACATTTAAAAAATTTATCATTTCTATTATTATTTGTAAGTTAAATGTTCAATGTTTAATTAGCAATAAAAGTTAATACATAAATCACTTTCTTCTTATTTTTACAGGCCTTTAAAAAAAACTATGGCCAACTCCCCCGGACTTACCCTAACTGAAAAAATTTGTTCCTATTGGATTACTAAACTATTTTCAAAGTGTAAAATTGTATAATAAATGTGTTCGTCCATATATATATATATATATATATACCTCCATTCTGTTTAACAAAATATGCAGGCATAAAATAAAAAAAATAAAAGACATAAACCAATCAAATTTAATCAATTTATAAGAAAATTTTTAGGTTTGTCCGTCATATTGGATCCACCCTTTTTGAATTTTAAAAATCGGACTTCGAATTCATATTCAGCGACAAGAAACACCTTTCTTTACCAAGTTTAACGAAAATCCGTTAAAATTTGTTAAAGTTATTCAAGTTTTTACATTATTACTTTTTGAATGATTGATTTTTAAAGTTTTATGATACAATACCATTCAATTGGTTGAACTAGGTTGAACCATTCAGTTTCATGCGATTAAAGCTTATCTAAATTTTTTTCTGCTCCATAAAATTAATTTAGGGAGTGTAAATAACAACTTAATACAAAAGAAACCCCCAAATATTACCTTTTAAAGAATGAAACTTACGTAATTTGTAAAAAATAGAAATTTTGTCCCCATTTACCCCAACTGACCCTAGGTGTCAATAGATTTTTAAAATTATGAACAAAAAACGATTTTTAAAAAATTTTAAATGCAAAAAATGCAAAAATATAGTTATAGTTAGTTAGTTATAGTGCCCACATTCTCAAAGAATATAAAATCCATGCCGAGTTCTGGGTAGGTTAACAATAGTTCTAGAGTTCTATAACTTTTGTTTCAATAGTTCTGTATATTAACAACAAAAAACATGATATTAAAAAAATAAAGTGCTAACTTCATCAAACACTAAAATTTTTGCAAAAAAGAGTTCTGACATTATTCCGATAGTAAGGAGGGGAAGTTGGGGGAATTGGAGCCCCTTAAGGAAAATGATTAAAAAAACCAACTTATTGTTATAATAAAATATTGTTTTGATCATTTTTTACTCCTTTTGTTATTTAACTTTAATTATAATTAATTAGGAATTAAGAACAAAAAAGAAAGTTTGCAAAAAAAATGTTTTCTGAAAATTGCATCTTCTCCTATTACCCTACCTGTGGGGTATTGGGAGCTCTCACTTGAAATTCTAATAAAATGATATAATTTATATTTTCTTTATATTATTATATTATATAACACAAATATTGATTCTTAGCAATTAAATATGCAACAATATCAAATTTTATAAATGAATCTTGTTCAATTTTCAAAAAAATAAGAAAAGCCATATCGAGATAACGAAACTCTGCTGGCTGGCACAATTCTCTTATTACTCCAAAGAATTTTCAAAGGCCACAATTTGAAAAAAATAAGAAAAACATAAACAAATTTAATTATTACCTCTATTTTTATTCATGTATCTAAATCCACACATATTTATCTCTAATAAAATCACAAAACATAATTAAATAATAAATTTTTAACTATTAACTTTGATCTCCAGAAATATTTTCCATTTAAGGGGGAGCGACACCTTTGAGGTCTAGTTTGAACCTGTTTTTCATGAATTTTTTTAAGACACAGGAATAAAGTAAACAAAATTTGGTTTCGAGGATTTTATTTGTTAACTTTTTCAGTTTACGAAAATATATTTATACTTAAAAAAAGTTTCAATTTGTTGCCTATAAAGGGCGCCAAAGTTGATCCTCTTTCTCTGCAGGGCAAGATTCCGGATAGAGCGTTTAAGATAAAACAAAAATTCAAAATTTTTCTAATCTGTGATAAATTTAGCTTTAAAGTACGTAGGATATTTTAAAAATATTAATTTTTGTGGATTTGGCAGCTGTTTGAAAGAAAAACTCGAATTTTAGGGCAAAATTTTTTCAAAAAATCTATTGCCCAAAAAATCAATCCGATCAAAACTGTTTGAGCTAGACTCATTTCGAGAAAAACACGTTTAAAGTTTTGACAAACACTCGCAGCGCTCTTGGACACCTGCAGATTTCGATTTTTTTCACATGAAATAACTTCGAAATCACTTCTCATGATATAATTTCTATTCTATACATCATAAACTATCGTTTAAACAAAAAAAAATCGATTTTTTTCGGATCAAATGTGTCACTCCCCCTTAAGAAGAAAAACTCGAAAACTTGATTTTTCCTTGTAGTTTCTACAAATCTGTCAGAAATGTGACCGTTTGTCTTCGTATGACATACAGGGAGATTGTTCAATTTTTCAGAGTTATTTACATGAAATTCAAAGTCTCTGTGTACTTAAAATTTTAAAGCTTTCATTATCCACTCTCTCCGATTACCACTAGCTTTGCCTACAGTGTTCTACAATTCTTTTATTAAAAAAATAGTTCCGCAAAATTTCAAAAATTATTTAAAAATTTTTAATTTTGAAAAATTTCAAATTTTAGTGGAATTAACCAAAGTTCTGGCATCTTCATTAATTTGACACCAATTGTATCGCAATTTCAGGTAACTAAACAAAATTTTCTGTACTTTCAAAAAATGAAGAAACGAATTTTTTTTACATTTCTTTTATATATTTATAACTTTTATCAATTTCCCTGACTACCTGAAATTGCCCGGGTAAATTAAACGGGGAAACTCGTGTAAATGCATTTTTTTTCAAGATTGTTTTACAAAAAAATAGTAAAGTTTATTGAATTGAAATAAAGCATACCTTAAAATGCAGCTTACAGGTCTCAAATCTCAACCGAAATTAAAAAATAAAATTTTTATCTTTAACCCCTTCACTGTTATTGACCTCTATAGAGGCATAAAAATATCGTGCCACCAGTGTGTATGACCGCTATAGTAGCATCTAGAAAAAAATAAGTAGACACAATACGATAAACTTGTCAATGGGTATTCTTAGGTATGGTAACATCAAGTTTTTTTTTAAAAAATTTTTTTTACCACATACGGGGCACGGAAGCTTTATTTCTGCTACACAGCGAAGGGGTTAAAATACACAAATACGCTTTGCATGACGAAGAGAAAATTAAAAAAAAATTTTTGAAAATTTGGGACTATTTTGAAAAAAAATCAATTTTTTTTATAAACAATCTACAAAAAAAATTATTTAAAAATCTAAAAAAACAGCTCGTCATGCAATATCCATTAAGTTAAAAAAGATTTCTGGTAAGTTTCATAAAAATCGGTTAAAAATTATCTGAGCTCCATTGCATGGTGCGCGAAAAAACACGTTTTGAGAAAAACGGGTTTAAAGTTTTCGATACAAAAAAATTAGTGTTTTAACTATTGCCGTTATTATGTTATGACGTTATGACATTATGTATTCGAAAATAACTATTGCACTAAAACCACGATTTACTATCACTTGACAATGACAATTAATAAAATTATATTGACAAGAAACCGAAACAATATAGAGAGATCTCGTGCTCATCGTTAACTGCATTTGGTAGCATCTGAAGTGCTAAACTTATGTATACTATAGATATTCATATACATCTATTTGTAGATTTTTTTAAAACGAGTTTCCCCCCTTAAGAATATGTTCGAAAAACATAACCTCAACCATTATTGTAAAATTTCGTGTTACAATATATAAATAAAATTATTAAAAAAATCAAAATATAACATCACTATGAGTAACATTACGTAAAAAAATTTTAATGTATAAAAAAATATGTAGCTAAAACCGTTCATACTTCAAGAAAGAGTCTCTAGCGGGTTAAGTAAACAGTTTTGAAATTCCCTGCAGACAATTTATACTCAAATGTTAGATAATGTGAATATCGTCCTCTTTCAATTTACTATTAAAAATGATTAAACAATAATTTTTTTTGCTTTCTCTAATATTTTAATGGCTTTAATAGACCTAATTTAGTATGTATAACAAATTGCAATATTAAAAATATTGAATTTAGAAAAAAATTTCTGAGAAAAAACATGCGTTTTTTTATCTTCTATGAAGTAGTGCTTTTGAAAAATCCAAATTTACGCTCTAGCGTACTGGTTTTTATTGTATCCAGCTCCTCAATTTGTTTACGTTTTTCTGTTTTAGGAAAAGACTCATGAAGAATTAATTATAACAAGAATAAATACCGAGCTTAAAAAAAGACATTCATGTGTTAATGGATTTAAATTAGTTCATTACATTCTACCAAAAATATCAGATGAAAATTTACTTAAATATGGATTACTGTGGATTACAAAATCAATACAGATTTTGGGCAGTATTGAAAATAATATTTCTGAAGTAACTTTTGCTTGTCAAACTTTAGCTGATTTAGTAGTTTCATGTAAAAGAAAATCCGAATTACATAAGCATATATCGATGCAAAATGTGAAACAAATTATAACCAGCATTAATAATTTGAGAGAAAACGAAACATGCGGCGCCATTTATTATCTCATTGCAGTTCTTCTTTGGCATTATTCTGAAGTCTGTGAGCGATATCAAGTAAGAGGAATTAAATCAAATATTGACATTGCACAAACACGCAACTGAAAACAAGTAAATTTTATTTTTATTTAAATTATTAAAATATCTAAAGGTAATTTATTATATTTGTGATCTCCTACTGTCGGCTAAGCAGTAGTTAATTTATGTTTCATCTTTAAAATGTAGCTATACAGTGAGTTCTCGCGGAGCAACTCACGAAACATTAAAACTCAAGAAGCATTCAGAATTTTATAGGGGGCTTATTTGCAAAGTATTCAGTTTCAAGTGAGCACGCGTCATTACTTAGTGGTGTGCAATACCACCAAGTATTGTTAGGTTTTTTCAAAAACTGTAGGAGAGGGTGGAGGTTGAAATTTTTTGAAAAATTTAAACAGTGAATTTTTGAATACTTTTAACAGAAAGATGAAAAAAAATTGACCTATATGTTTTCGAAAAGTATTTTCCTGCTCTTTCGAATGGTGCAAAAATGTTTTCAAAAAATTCAAAATTTGACCTTTTTTTTGAAAATCAGTAATTTTTTGACCTTTTTTTAAGTTTGGTCTCTTTCTTTCATATAGGGCTCGTTGGATGCGGAACTACGTCAGCTTTCAATTGGTACCTTCAGGATTGCAATAACTTTATTTATTTGTGAAATATTTCATTCTTTATTAACTTTTTTAATTAATATCTCAAAAATAACGAAAAAGGACGTCTCAATATTTTTTGTGGTGAAAATACACATTTTTAACTTTCAAAACAAAAATAAATAAATAAAAAAAACTGAACTTAAAAAAAAATTCGAAAGAAAGTTTAATTTTCAAAGAAAGAGTTAAAATTGGAATTTTTTGAAAATTTTTTTGCACTATTTGAAAGAGAAGGAAAAAACTTTTCGAAAACATAAAGGACAATTTTTTTTTCCTTTTTCTGTTTAAAAGTTACAAGTCTTCAAAAATTCACTGTTTAAATTATTCAAAAAAATTCAACCCCCTCCCTCTCCGACAGTTTTTAAAAAACCTAACAATACTTGGTGGTTATAGTACTCACCCCTAGGGCTAAACTATGTGCAAGTTACAGCCCGATCCGTTCAACTTTTTTTTTCACTTAGTACGCTACAGGAATTTTACCCCACCGATATTTTAATTTATTAATAGTTATTTAAATTACAATTAGTATTTTTTAATTTTATATAATATATATAATATCTGTATGATTAACTGTATCGGGGATATTCCACTTGTTACTATTAATTGTTTTCTCCACACAATTACATCGTCTTCCGCTGGGAGAAATTTATGAAGTTCATGAAGCATTTCATATGAAAATACGTTGTCATTTCTCGGATTTTTCTCATAATTCGGTAAATTGTAGTGATAGTGGTGCTAAATAAGTGTACAAAATTTGAATTTGAAATTTTTAATATTTTTCGAGATATTTACAATAACAAATTAGAGCAATATTTTCTTGTTTTACTTATAACTTTTTCCCAACTAAAAATAGAGAAAAATGTTGAGAATGTTTTTACGCAAAAGACCTTAAACTTTTAGAAAAAATAAAATTTGTTTATAACTTTTAAACAATTTGTTTAAAAAATAAAATTTGTTTATAACTTTTAAACAATTTGTTTAAAAAATAAAATTTGTTTATAACTTTTAAACAATTTGTTTAAAAAATAAAATTTGTTTATAACTTTTAAACATGTTCTCCCTCATTTTGAAGTGCGAAAAACATTATAAATATTGTTTAAGTCATAATAAATCGATGGTTAAATTTGTGAGATGTCATTATTTTTTGTTCTCGAGATATTAATTAATACATTCATTTTTTATTTGGAAGATCATCTAATTCTGTATCAAATAAAACCAGTGTAAATAGCATTTTTAACAATTCAAATTATTAACAGATGATTATTGAAAATCGTTGTTTCAGTACCCCACGGCACAACTCGGCAGAGGTTGCCTATACCTACTAGGCATGGCATTTTTCAGTCTTTCTCTAAATAACATTTTATAATTAATTTTCGATTCTTAGTAATACTTAATATTCTTTTTTTGACGCAGAATTAGATAATTTTGCAAATAGAAAAAGAATTGACAATTTATCTTCATTTCTTCAATTATTTAAATAATTTTTATTATTAATTGAACACCCGTTTTTCCAAAACAGTTCATATAGGGCTCGTTGGATGCGGATTTCGATAAGCATTGGAATGGTATTTTTAAAATTATTCTAATTTTATTTGTTCGTAAAATATTTCATATTTTACTAACTTTTGTTAGTTAATTAATTAATATCTCGAAAACACGAAATAATGCCACCTTAAAAATTTAACCATCGATTTATTATGACTTAAACAATATTTATAATGTTCTTCGCACTTCAAAATGAGGGAGAACATGTTTAAAAGTTATAAACAAATTTTATTTTTTAAACAAATTATTTAAAAACTAATATTTTTTTTCTAAAAGTTTAAGGTCTTTTACGTAAAAAACATTCTCAACATTTTTCTCTATTTTTAGTAGGGAAAAAGTTATAAGTAAAGCAAAAAAATATTGCTCAAATTTGTTATTGTAAACATCTCGAAAAATATTAAAAATTTAAAATTTGTACACTTATTTAGCACCACTATCACTACAATTTACTGAATTTTGAGTAAAATCCGAGACATGACCCCGTATTATCATATGAAATGCCTCACACATATATTGTAATTATATGTTAGGCTCAAAACCCGAAAACGCTCACTAAGCAAAAAAATCGACCACAACGCGTTCTGGCTCCTTCAATTTATCAAAAACCCAAAATTCGTGTCGTGGCACTATGCATGTGAACTTAGCCCCCCACTTTTAAAAAATTGAATTTTTTTTTAGAGTTCTGACTTTCTAAAGAATAGTTCTAGAGTTCCTGATAAGTTTTAGAAATAGTTCCGGCGATTAAGTACTACAAAAGACCCTGATAAAAGTTTTTCCTAAACTCAAAATTGAAGAAACTACAAAACTTTGAAAATTCAGAAAAAAATTATTTATTTAAAAATTGAGTTCCAAGAGTTCTGATGGGAGTTCTGTATGACACCTTTGGAGTTCCAAGAGTTCTGACGAGAGTTCTGTTTGCCCCCCACAGAGTTCTACTAAAATCTCAGATAAATTTTTTTTATAAACTCAAAATTAAAAAAACTGCAGAACTTTAAAATTTCATAAAAAAATTATTTATTTACAATTTGAGTTCCAAGAGTTCTGATGAGAGTTCTGTTTGCCCCCCACAGAGTTCTACAAAAAACACTAATAAATTGTTTTTCTAAACTTAAAATTGAAGAAACTACAGAACTTTAAAATTTCATAAAAAAATTATTTCACTTAAATTGAGTTCCAAGAGTTCTGATGGGAGTTCTGTATGACACCTTTGGAGTTCCAAGAGTTCTGATGAGAGTTGTGATTGCCCCCCAAAGATTTCTCCAAAAAAAAACTAATAAATTTTTTTTCTAACATCAAAATTGAAGAAAATACAGAACTTTAAAGTTTAAAAAAAAATTATTTCACTTAAATTGAGTTCTAAGAGTTCTGATGGGAGTTCTGTATGACAACTTTAGTTCCAAGAGTTCTGATGAGAGTTCTGTTTGCCCCCCACTGAGTTTAGAAAAAAATGTATTAAAGTTTTTTGTAAAAATCAGTGAAAGGCAAACAGAACTCTCATCAGAACTGTTGGAACTCCATAGGTGTCATACAGAACTCCCATCAGAACTCTTGGAACTCAATTTAAGTGAAATAAATTTTTATTGAACCTTTAAAGTTCTGTAGTATCTTTAATTTTGAGTTTAAAAAAAAAATTTATTAGTGTTTTTTGTAGAACTCAGTGGGGGGGGCAAACAGAACCCTCATCAGAACTCTTGGAACTCCAAAGGTGTCACACAGAACTCCCATCAGAACTCTTGAACTCAATTTAAGTGGAATAATTTTTTTTAAACTTTAAAGTTCTGTAGTTTCTTCAATTTTGAGTTAAGAAAAACAATTTATTAGTGTTTTTTGTAGAACTCAGTGGGGAGCAAACAGAACTCTTATCAGAACTCTTGCTACTCAAAAGGTGTCATACAGAACTCATAGAACTGAATTTAAGTGAAATAATTTTTTTTAAACTTTAAAGTTCTGTATTTTCTTCAATTTTGAGTTTAGAAAAAAAATTTATTAGTTTTTTTTTTTGTAGAAATCTTTGGGGGGCAATCAGAACTCTCATCAGAACTCTTGGAACTCCAAAGGTGTCATACAGAACTCCCATCAGAACTCTTGGAACTCAAATTTTAAATAAATAATTTTTTTCTGAATTTTCAAAGTTTTGTAGTTTCTTCAATTTTGAGTTTAGGAAAAACTTTTATCAGGGTCTTTTGTAGTACTCAATGGGGGGCAAATAGAACTCCCATTGGAACTCGTGTAATTCGTGACTATAAAATTTTTTTGAATTTAAAAACAATATTTTAACTGTATATGGGCAGAACTATTTTTGAAAAGTATAGAGAACTCTATAACTCTGTGAGAATTATTCAGAACTCTAAAAAAAATTTCATTTTTTCAGAAGTGGGGGGCTTCGTGAAGTTAGCTCCCGATTATGAAAAATCGATATTTTTAAGACTTAATCGCCGGATCTATTTCTAAAACTTATTAGGAACTCTAGAACTATTCTTTAGAAAGTCAGAACTCTAAAAAAAAATTCAATTTTTTAAAAGTGGGGGGCTAAGTTCACATGCATAGTGCCACTAGCAAAAAAAATTGAAGGAACATCTTTTATGTCTATGAATTCCTTGGCCACCTTCTTTTGTACCCAATTTATAAAGCCCGGAAGAATTGACATCCATAACAGTCGCTAACACATTTCTTGGAGCAACTCGTCCTCTATCAACGTCAGGCACTCTGTTTGCAACATTGGTGCCAATTGCAGCTTCCGAAAATTTGGAGTTGGAGAAAGAAACCATTTTTGTGCCTGTTTTTCCTGTCCACATTTAGCACCTTCCCTCTCAGCAATTATGTTTCTCC